TTATCGTCCTTTTCATCCTTTTCGTCCATTTCAACATCCACGTCAATAATTTCGTCATCCAAATCTTCACTATCATTATTCCTAACGTTGGCAAATAAAAGGTAATTAATTATACGAATAGTTATAAAACGGATAACAAAAATTTATGATACCTTTGATGTTTATGTTTAGGCTTTGAACTTTTTTTCATGCTTCTTGGCATCCGAAGGTTCTTATAAAAATCGATTCGTTCATAAAGTCTGTCGTTCTCTTTTCCGAATTCCTCATTTATTTTTATTAGCATTTCATTTAGTTCTTTCGACTCTTCAAGTTCTTTATTAAGTTTGTCTATCTTATATTGCAATTCCATATTATCGGCTCTTAATTTCCCATTTTCTACCTTCAGATCTAAAAATTGAAGGTTTTCAAATATATATCTATATATCGTAAAAACATTCGTCAATAAACAATTAAGAATAGATAATCAAAATTTACCAAAATTACTCAAATTTTTTTCTGATGATCGCAAAGTTTCGGTTGCTTCAACTCGACTTTCGTCTAGAATTATCGATTTTGGTAAATGGATTTTCGGAATTTTTACTTGTAAGCCTGCAAGCTTTGATTTAATAATATTTGACGATGATTTTGTATTGGAGAGAGAAGTTCGTGAAGTACTTGGTGATGAAGATGATTTCATATTGGAGAGAGAAGTTCGTGAAACACTCGGTGATGAAGATGATTTCGTATTGGAAAGAGAGGTTCGTGAAGCACTTGGTGATGAAGATGATTTCGTGTTGAAGGGGGATCTTAAAGTACTCGGTGATGATGAAGATGATTTCATGTTGAAGGGGATCGTAAAGTTTCCGATGACGTGTTGGAGGTTCATAAAGCAGTTTCTTCCTCATCAACATTAGGAGGGACAAGATAAAAAACATCTCTTTCGTTTCTTTCGGTTCCTTCTTTCTCTCCCTTTTTATTAATATTCTTTGATGTGTCCTTTGATATATTTGAAAAAATAGAACTATTCTTAATTGTTAAAATAGCCAAAATTTATTTACTCTTATTAAATTTATTAAATTTGTAAAAATATATAATAAAATTTTACACGAAAGTATTTTGAAATTGTAAGAAAAAAAAAGTTAAGTTCTAGGACGAAACTTTGAAGAATCGAGTTTTTTTATAGTTTATTTATAGTTAAAAATTTGATCAAAAGCTTAATTTATACTATTAAATTCTTAAATTTGATAAGTGATTTATCGAATTTTTTATTAATAATTCAATAAGTTACTTTACGTTAAGTTGATAGAAATTCGATAAATCAATTTTAGTTGATGTGAAATTCGCCAAATCACTTAAATTTGATGAGAATTCAATACATCATTTAAAGTTGATGGAAAATTCGTAAAGTTTGATGAGAATTCAATACATCACTTAAAGTTGATGGAAAATTCGTAAAGTTTGATGAGAATTCAATAC